GTCTAGTGTGTCAGACCTGTATTAGAGATGGAATGTTGACTATCATTCCAAATTTACTATGTGTATCTACAAGAAATGTGGCAAAGTTTTATTCAAATGTACAGATCTGTTGTACACAAAATCTGAAGTGGTGCAAAAGTATTTGCACTCAAGATATGTCTGTGAATTGATGAATATTATTAATGTGATGAATAAATATACTTTTGTCCATCATACAGTTTGCATATTGCATCTGAAATGCATACCTACAATTGTTTTCAGTATCTTTGTATATTGTATCTGGTATTCACTCCCCTCTATCATGAACTGTTGCTAAGTCAGCAATGTAGGGTAAAATGAATAGCTCAGAACTCTGACATCAAATATATATAATACTATGTTGAATGGCACTTTGTAAAAAGTTGTGGCATGTGTACATAGGGTTAAAAATCATTACACACTTATTTTTTCAAGTTTCAAAATTTAAATAAAAAGTATGATCTTAACTGTCCTTCAATAATGCTTTAAACAAAAGTATTTTAGAATTTATATTTTATTATTATTATATATTTAATGTATGTCATGAAGAAAAATGGATAATGTTCCACTTTCATTTCTGTGTAATTCTGAGGCGTCTCTCCTGTAAACAGTGCATTTATCAATTTTTTAATTTGTGTAAAAGCATAGGGTTATGTTTGTAAAGAAACTATCATCCCTTAGTAATACAGCGATCTTGACTTTACAAAATTTTTCCTTTTCTGCCACTGTTTTATTACTCTATCTCTCTGTTTCCACTTTTTTATGATGTCGGCTTTAAAAGTAGCTAGAAATCAAACGATAAAAACAATTGTACAGAAGATTATTTTAAGTGGCTGCATTAATATGGAATAAATAAATGTTTGTACCAGTAATTTTTGTTTTGTTAACATATTACCTACCGTTGGGGTGAACAAAGGATCCTGATAAAGTTTGGAGATGGCTTGAATGGATAATGAAGAAACCTTTATTACAAGTTGAACATAATAGTAAATGTACAATGTCTGGAGATGGTTTTGTCATCATCATGTACTTGGTGAAACATTGTACATTTGTTACTATGTTAAACATACAATAAAGTTTTCTTTGTTATCCATAATTTGTCTCCATACTTTATTGTTCTTATAGTGGGTTCCTTGTCATCAAAGGATGCTAATGTGAAGTTTACAACACTTGGAAACTAATTACAGATGTGTTTTTTATTACTGATAATGTTTTTGTGTTAAATCATATATTATTCTATATGAAAACATCACATAAGTTTAGTTAGGCTTAGAGAGTACAGTAACCAGTGTCAAATTATTTAAATGACATAAGTCTTTTTTTATTGAATATTATTGTTGTGTTAATGATATTCAAGAAAGGCATACAAATAAAAGAACTGATCTGTTTTATTGAAAATAAATTACATTTATTACATATAAACTGATCTTGACCAAGAATATTTGAAAAAAATCATGAATTTTTATAGTTGAGGTCTTAGCCAGAAGTGGTGACTGTATCAGTTGTCAAAATATAAAAAAATTAAATTCTAAGATGAAAGGAAGACTGTTTAATGCTTTTTCTAGAAACTTTACAACCAAAAACTGATACAAATGATAAGTCTAATTATATGAATTTTATAAAGCAGAAACTCGATGCTATTTACAAATTTTATACTAAGTTTTGCACAATTGGATTAAGCTATTTCCTATGAAAAAAAAAAATCATAGGATATCAGTAATACTCCTCTGGCTCAGAAGGGGTTAATTTGCTCGTGTTCTCACATACATGAGTTGTGAAATAAGCACTAGATCTTAAATTAGTATGTTATGGTTGAAGATTTTGTTAGGCTTGGAATTTAGAACCAGAAGCTGTCTTGAAAGTAAATTTCTCATGACTTTTTTAAAATAAAAATTGTTATATCAAAATCACAATGTAACTTGGAATGAGAAAAGAATACACAAAAACAGAACATGGTTAATACTCAGTGTTTTTTGTTGTTGTTGTTCAGTGCAATAGCTGTTTTTATACTAAATGCTTTGGATTTGAATGAAACTATCCATTTGATTCTTTATATCTTTTAAAATTAATTTTGGCTTGAATTTCCATTTTGCTTCTTTGATCTTGTTTATCTTTTTAAGTAAACTTTTTTGGTGAAAGCAACATCACACATTCATTTATTGAACTGATATATAGTAAGATGTTGTTGTAATAAAAATGTTTTTCATTTCTCTGTAAATTAAGTGCCACAAGCTTTTATGTAATGTAGTGTTTGAATGATTTAAACATCTATAACAGTGCCATTATCAGTATCACTATTATTAAAAATGAATCATAGACTATTAAAACAAATGATTTAGTTGGAGATTAAAACAAGTAGTGATTGGATGCTGGATTATTTGATAAAAAGGCTTTGTACAATTTAGTGAGTGACCATTTGATCTTATATTGTCTGTTTATACTTTAACAAATACAAGATTGCTTCACTGCTTCATAACCATTACATTTTGTATCCAAAATGCGAATTGGATTGAAATAAGCTACCTGTTATGATAACTGTGAAGAAGCAGGAATTCAACAATTTGATTTTTTAAGTGCTTTTGAAAAATGAGTTCATGACAGTTTGATTATTCTCGTGTTTGTTAAAATAATTCTTCAGTTGTTGTTTTTTTCCAAAAGAAAAAAGCCTGTGAAGTATCAGTTAGTTCAAAAGAATACAGCTGTTTTTGCTTTAGTTTGGACACTTTATAATCTTTTGTATAGGGGAAAATTTTAAAAGCTGATATACTATATGATGAATTATTTAAAAAAATGTAATATTCAATGTTTCTTTAACTTCTTTAGTATTATTCACTATACTACAATTAAGAAAATTCTGGTATGTGTGTTTAAATGAAGATATTTGTGTTTTAATAACTTTCATAAAATTATTAAGTAACCTTAAAATAGTGGAGGAATGGTAACAATTTGTATTGTTTCTTGAAGTCACAAATTTGTACACATGCAACTAATGTTTTGTTCAACAAGTTATTTTTCAGTATGTCCTTTTTTTAAAGTCAGATTTTTAGAGGTTGTTTCTAACTAATTATTTAAATTGATTTAATGAATTTACTTTCTTCAGCTGGATGTCAAGGAAGCAAAAGAAGTGGATATCAGTAAAATCCAGTGGGATATCTCTGAAGAAGAGGAAGAGAAAGAGGACGATGAAAGTGCAATCGAAGACTCTGATCTTGCTTCAGAGGATGAAGAGAGTGATTAATAAAGAACCGAACGTTCACTGACAACAATTTCCACACAACAAGATGTGAAGTACAGATAAAACAGTTCAAGCAGGTTATGACTGTGTTAAACAATTAACTGAAGTTTTCAGTTTCCCTAGTTCAATATCTCAACTGAGAATGATTCAGTAGTACTGTAGCTTGTCATTCTATTTTCTTACATGTTAATAATCTGTTGGAAATGTATTATCTAAGTAAAAAAATCTTAATTTCAGTGATGATGTTTGAACTTTTAAGCTTCCTGTCTTAAGTTTTTTTCTATGATGCTTTTGCTTTCTTAATACTTACTGGCCCGTGTTCACACAACTCATTTTTCTTAAGTGATTTACAATAATTATTATTTCATTTTGCTTTCTATATGATTGCATTATAACTTAATATTATTGAAAGATGTGCTAAGAAGGGTTCAGTGTAATAAAGTAAACAAGTACATTTCACAGTTAAGCTACCGAACTTAAGGAATGAAATTTTTTAAAACCTGTATTGTTGTGCAGTAGTTTCATCTTTTGGAGAGGTGCTACTTTTCAGTTTAATCCATACTATTCAGTCTTTATGATCTGCAACAGCATTGTTTACTTGGTGTGTGACATCATAATTCCGAAACAATGCTCTTTAAGTTAAGTATTCAAAGTTCTAATTTTTGGAAGTTGTTTGCATAATTTCGTTACATCTCATAAATTGTTTTTCTTTTTGCAATACAAAATTTACTTATTGAGATTTAAAGTATTCTTAACATATTTTAAGTAACTTGTTATTGGAAAACGATTTTTAATAAAATAGATTAAATAGCATAGTTGAAGTTTTAAAATTTAAAATAACATCTTGATCTACCAGCACTTTTGTGATGTGTTGGTAGGCAAACTTTGTCAGCCCTTTCAAGAAGTAAAAAAAAAATATATATATAATTGTGGTGTTTTAAGGCTTATCACATTTTGGGTTTTGCACATTTCTTTCTTTTACTAAAAGCTGTTGAAATCTGAGTCCTCATGATTTTTTCGCTTACAGTATTGAAGGGAAGCCATAGTATTATCAGTGAAAGTGATACAGCATTTTATATGACTCCATTTTCATGAAGAATTACAAGATGAGAAGGGATAATGATGATAAAAATTTTAAGTAATTTGTTGCAGGCAAAGGTTAAAATTGCAAACCCCCCCTGTACACTTTGATTTATATATTTAATATTTTTTGTCATTAATGTTTTAGTATGAATACTATAAAAAATAACAAAGTTTTATATATTTTATATGGCTTCTATATTTCAACTCTTTGTTTGCATATGAAATACTAATTTTTTTGCTGAAAAAAAAAGTGGATGAAGTTTTAACGTGGAATTTTTGAAAGATGATATCTAGTAAAACCCAATTAGATTTTGTGGTGGTGGTTTGGTAATGAAGCTTTGTAGTGACAAAGTCCTCATGAATTTTTAAATATACATAATTGGATATATATAGTAAAGAGCAAAAGGATATTAAGTTATAGTCAAATTCTTAAACATTTTGTGCACAAACAAATTACATAGGAAACATTAAATGAGACAAAATATAATTTTTATACACAGTACAGTACTAATTACTGCACTTTTATTTTAAGGCTTTTATATGAATGATAAATTGTTTAAAGAAACATGACGAGTTGGCTTTTGTAATAGTTTTTTTATAGAACATATCCAAGATGATATCCCTATTGTTATTTCAAAAGTTTTTGAAAATTCTGCACTACAACTTAACTGTGCTTACAACAAGATTAAAAGGTGTATAACTTGTGTTTAAAGTAATGTGTACATAAAACTAATTAAGAGGTGGGAAAAAAACAACTTTTAATATGTTACCTGGAACTGTGACTTGATCTTCTAACCTGTGGTGCTCACAATTTTATGATGATAATACTGTACAGTACCTGACAAAAAGTCAATTAGTGTATAACAAAAACTCTTCCAGCCAATCTTTCACTGCTATATGAGAACAAGCACAATTAATGAATAAGAGATAGAAGCTGTTATGTTGCTACGTCTTGAATATTAAAATAACACACCAGCGATTTCTGTTTAGTTCATACTGTGTCCATTATTAATAAAGGCAATGCAGATTAATGAATTATATAAGCTTTAATGTATTACAGTTTTGAGAAAGAAATCAAACAGATGCAAATATATTAGAGAAGATAAGGTTATGAAGTGAGATGATAAGCAATACTCATAATAAACCAAAACTCTATATCCTGAGTTCTTGAATAAAACATCCTGTAAACAAGTTGCATGCATTCTTAGAATTCATCTCAAAGTAATATTCCAGTTTGAATTTGAATATAATAAAAATAGTGTTTCAGAACTGGACATTTCTAGAGGTAGCTGAAATGACGCATTTCTTATGATTAGAATTACAAATCAAAATAATCAGGTTATTTGTTTACCAAATAATTAAAGGATTTGTTACATTTCTAAAAGAAATTTCCTAATTCATATTTATCAAATTATTAACACTTAAAGAATTCACTCTAGAATTAGTCTGGAATAAAGCTGAAAGCAGTTAATCCCAAAATTGCTTAGCACAGCTGAGAATTTGCCGTTGTTTACCTGACATGTAGAAAAAGGGAGTTTTTTTATGTGAATAAAGTTGTATTTAATGTGTTAGCTTACATTATGATCAAAGCTTGACTACTGCTTAAGCTTCTATAATCAGACAGTTCAATCTCTATGGTGTTAAGTTTTCAACTGTAATATTTCAGAATTCAACCAGACTCGCGAGAAGCTAGGACACACTGAAAATAAAACCAATGAATGCTCTTCTGACAGAAAACTAGTGTACATTCTCCAAGTGGCTATGATGTTGTCATTTCATATAAAAGTGGAAAATTATTCAAGGAGGTTTTTAGAGCAAAATAAAGAAATTAAAAAACAAAAACAACTGCAGACAAAAATTGTTGGAAACTACATTTACAGTACTTTTAAGATTTAACCATCAGAAATATAGAAGAAGAAAAAAGGAAATTGTGTGAAAATCTATTGCCTTGCAACATTCCATGTAGAATATCTAAGTTGTGATATCTGTTTGTGAGAAGTCAAGGTACCTACCAGACAGATCTATGAGGCTGTGGATGGCCTATGATCATGACATGATCTATATTTTGAGCCAATTGATTAATTGTTCAGATGGTTTCTCTTCGGAGCCATGACATAAATAAAAATCAAAGCTTTGATAAAAGGAAGTTGTTGATTTATAAAGAAAACAACACTATATTAGTGTTAAATTTTATTACATTATTTAATCTGTAAAACAGACAGTTAAGTAAAGTACTTTTCCAACAGTGTTATTTTAATATAACTGTCTTTTATATCTCATAACAAATAAACTAGTTACAGCTTGAAAACACTTTTTTTATAAAGAAATATTTTAATCAGTGGTCATTATTTAATAACTAATATACAGCTACAGAATTATTCACAACTAAAATGTATTAATAATTATTAGGATGAAGTAATATATTTCTACAAAATAATGTAATGCAGGTATGAAATTTGTATACTGGAGTATCAAAGCATATTAAAAATTAAGATTTTTATGCATAAGAATACTTTACAAGTCTGACTTTCTTGCACAATCATGATGAATGATTAAAACAATCCTTTGCTTATGTAAAATTTATTAAGTATGATACAGAAAGTTAAGAAACAGCATTAATGAAAAGCAGATTAGACACTAATTTCCAGTTATCAGAATTATATGTTTTAATATGGTAGTCCATTACTTTCGCTTTTTAAGCTCCTCGAAGCGTCTAGTCAGGTCATCGAAATCCACAGATTCTTCTCCAGCTTTAGGATTATGGGAAGAATCTGTGTTTGGAAGGCTGTTTGTTGGGACTGAGGGAAGTTCTGGTAGTGTATCAGTAGGGAACATGGTCCTTGGTTTAGGTTTTGGTTTACCATTTGGTTCTTTCTGATTTGAATCATGTCCCTGGACACCTTTAATTTGATCCTCAGGTTTACTGTTAACAATACTGTCATATGATGGTGCAGGGCTGAAGTCATAGTTAGGTGGAAGATTGAAGCCAATTGGTGCGCTTGTTGTTGATGGATATGGTCCACTTGGAGCCATATTTGGCAGTGGGGGTGCAACATTGGGGTTTTTAACATGCTGAAAAGGGTAAAATCATCTTTTTTAAATATCTGCCATAAAATTATATAATGAAAATAGCTTTAAACATTTTAATAAATTAATAAATTATATCAAGTTCACTACTCTGACACTTTCCAATTTCTTAAAGAGAAGTTCCTAACTGTATTAATTTTAACAAGTAGCCAATAGAGTTATTATTTTTAATGACAACATTTCGTGGGGAAGAACCAAAGGTATACTTAACTGTGCCTTTTTATAACTTAACAGATAAATAGCCTAGTTGTTCTTTAATTTCATTCTTGTCAGGACCACTATAAAAACAGAAGGCAGGGTAACACTTACAGCAGGAGGATATTGAAAAGGTTGTGATACTGGCTGGCTTGAAGGATACTGCATAGCTGGATAGCTCATTCCTCCTCCTGGAAGGTAATTAGGACCACTATTATTACCATCAAAATTAATCAATGTGTCCTGTGATGCTTCTGCAGCCATTACCTCATCTTCTTTCATGATATCAGGATCAGGTTCATAGGGTACATTATGGCTCTTGGCAATTTCTGAGAAAACAAAATTGTTTTTTATGTTGCATTAATTCAAAGTGTTTTAAAAAATGTATAGTTTTATTACATTTTCTACTTCCTTTATATTAATGTATAAAATATTCTACACATTTCTGAAGGTGTGAAAATATCTACATCAAGCTGTGTCCTTGGGAATGTTACACATTCCTAAAGCAATCTTAATTTGTTGCATACATCTGAAACAACATTCATTTTATTACACTGTGCATGTACATTTACATGATATTACTTGCATGAAGAAATGTAATAATTGTTAGATACATGCATGAATATACTTGGTATATTAATGTTAATATTACACATACCAAAAAAGTGCACTAAAATGTAGAATATGTACATTGTAAGATTTTACTATGACAATTAGTGGAATTTGATAATTGATTAATTGTCGGGCTCATTATTTGATAACATTGAACTAATTGATTATTCTAAATGAGACTTTGAATACTTGGAATAACCTAAAATAGTCATAATTTAAAACACTACTTTTGAGTAGTTGATTATTTTTGCAAATTGTGACACTCGTTAATACTGCTGAAAAACCTTGAACTAATTAAAAATAATCATGAGAAACCATAATGGCATTCTTTTGATTATATGGATAGTTGGAATAATCAGTAGCATTTATTTTGATAAGTTGATTATTTTCATGACATTAATCAATTTAATCATAATTTTGATTGATCAGTTATTGTATATGATACAAATCAGAGTAAACAATGCTCAAAGGTAAGGTAAACAGTGTTTCAACTCTGATGTAAATATATCTAAATATTTTACAATAAAGCTACATAGTACAAGACAAATTGTACACATGGCTACCTGATGTAACATGTGTGATCCAAAACCTAGTCTCGGAGAGAAACTTGCTAAAGAGATTAAAAAAATCAAAATAAACAAGAAAGTTTATACACAAAACAAAAATACTAACATGCTAATGACCAATTCTGTAAAGAAATGTTAATACTGTGACTAATCTGATAAATTTTCTTTAAAAGATTTATACTTGTATATTTCTCTTATATCTTAGTTCTTTAATACATTAAATTCAACATAAAATATATGTATTATATACATTTGTATTCTTGATATTAAGATATCTCATATGGCAAAAAATTGGTAGGTCTTGACACAAGAAACCTAGTAACCTGGATATTTTCAAAAGAGTTCAAATTGTTGGGTTTCTTGTTTTATGACTTATGTTTGAAAATGTTCCTTAACTTAAGTGTGTTTCATAAAAGACATTTGAAATGATACACACCAATTAAATACTTTTCTACAAGTATTTTGGGTGGGGCCTGAACACTGAGTTTGTGGACAAGCTTCTCATTTACAGTATTTAATGCATTCTCACATGCAGCCTGGGCATAAGGTTTTCCATATTTTAGAGTCAACTGGTCTGAAATAGCCTTCAGCTCAGCCACGTCTGTTTGGAGTCGAGGTGTTGCCCACAACATACTGGAAATAGCCTCAGCCAATCCCTCATCAAGAGATCTGAAAGAATCAATGTCAAGGTTTAAAGGTCTTAATAATAAAGGCCTTTGGTCTAACTGACAAATGCAAGGTTATTGAAATTTAATAATCAAATATATCAAGCTGACATTTCTGTTATGACAACATTTATTTAGTGATTATCAAAATCATTTCAGAAATTCAGCAACTAGTGAATGTGCCCCACACCAGAGATGTTCTGAAGATCTTATAGCAGTGCAAAATCTTGTACCTAGAAAGTTTTTTAACACTTGTATGTTAAAATGAGCATCCAGTGTCCAAGTGAATGCTTGATGTAAATGTATTGTAAGATACAATAGGTCTACTTTTTGTACTAGCCTTGCAAATTTCACTACTAGTATATATACTATGGTCTTTCAGGGGTCAATACTTGGTGAGATGTGACTGGCAAGTTTACTTTCATTTCTTCAGTTTGGATTCATACACATTCATGTTATGGAAAAAAGGATCTTGGTATTCTTGTTGACCAGTCTTGTAAGCCACTGTTGCTGGTGGCAGGGCAAGTAGGATTTTAGATGTACCCACAGAAATATTGAATACACATATAAAGAGGCTGTAACTACAATATATAGGTCACATTTGAAGTATTGTGTTCAGTCTTGGGGGGCCTTACCTTAGAAAGGACATTGAATTGTTTGAAGGAGGTCATCTGGGATGGAAAGGATGTCATACAAGAACAGGATTTCTGAAATTGTTTTCTTTTGAAACAAAGAGTTAGAGGGAATGTGATTGAAGTGTTTAAGATGGTTAAGGAAATTGATAGTGTTGATGCATCATCTTTTTCATACTTAAAGGAGAGAATGGTAGGCCTACGAAACATGAATATAAATTTTAGCTGGGCAAGAGTCACCTTCAGCTGTGAAATAGCTGAACATAAACAAATTTCAACGTTCTGAAATATAACTTATGGACATCACTACTCAAACGTACTACGAATTACAATATTCACTGCTGTTTAACGTATTAGACTATTAATATTATATTATTAAACAACGTCGCAATATTTGCGTTAACGCTTACTTCATCTGTTGTATTAGTCCAAATCTTGCTAACAGTAAGTCACAATACATTTCTACCACTTCCATAGCTTCAACAAGGTAGTCTTCTCGAATGATATGTTCTACACGAATTTTCGCTCTCTCATATTTTCCACTGGATATATAATCGGCAATTTCTTTTCTTGCTTTTTGAGCCAATTCCGTCTTTTTCTTCTCAAGCAACTTCAAGCGATTAATTGCCAGACGTAAGTTTGTTTTTAATTTTCCGTAATTAGGGCCCGCAGAAAACATTACGATACCTTACTAGAATGATATAACCTAATACTAATAACAGTCTGTGTTACATAAAATGAGATTTAAAACTGAAGTGAACTGAAAGTATACAGAAACACGCGTTAAAGGCGTTTCTTCGTATCACCATTACAAACCTTATGACGTTTAAATTACAGCGCCATCTTGCAGCCGTTGGATAATGAGTTTATTTTACTTTTTTTCAGCCTAAATGAGTTTTAGTGTTTATTTTAAGTTATTAAATATTTAGAACCAATTACGTTTGAAAGCAGTGGAAATATACTATCCAAGTATTATATTAGATATCCTGGTAACCAGAGAAGCCAGTATGAAAGGATTTAGAGAATTATCCTGAACGTAATTTGTTTCGCTCTCTCATAATCAAAATCATAAACAGTACACTACTAATAGCATTGAATAATATACAATATAAGTTAGCACTGATTTGTTTAAAATGCGTAGGACATATCTTACTTAAAATATCATTGAGCATTGTATTATAGGATGGTCATTTGTGCCTGTTACCATCTTGGTTACGATTTTCAGAATTATTGTTTTTTAAAGTTCTCAACTTGGTCGCAGAAAGTCGCTCAAGCAACACTTTAATTTTCCTTGCTTTGAGAGTATACAAAATGTGAGTTAACTAATTGAAAATTAACTAACTCTTTTGAAAGAATAACGCCTCACTACCGAAAGCATCATTTCCTAAAAGGTTGAGATGGGCAAAGGGCTGACCTTGCATGGTCTGCCTCTGTTGACCCACCCGAATAACCACCCATGCTCGGAACATCCAGAAACAGAAAGCTATCTTTCCTATCAACGAATCAGATAAGTGCAGGGTCAGTTATGCCTTAGAGTTCGTCTCCCAGTCGATCCATATCTTAAATGCAATATGTATCCGTGTGCAAAGTTGGCTTTATCGGTGTATTAAGGTTATTGTACAAAAGGCCAGGTTTGCTCATGCAAAACAGATATGTTTTTAGATGAAGGTTTAGAAAATTTTCAAGAGTTATCATAATGGTTTCAGTGGCATAACATTGTACGATCTGGTGTTAGCCTTTTGTTTTTATCTCTTTGTTTGAATGAGTTCACTAGTGTTGTATTTCTTATTTTAACATTTACTTACAGAAGAGAAGTGTTTGCTCAAATTTTAGAAAGAGGGAGGTTTAAGTACTTGTATTTTGCTGTATTACTTTTAGATCATGATTGTAGATTTTGCTAACACTTAAACTATAGCTTAAACATAGATTTTAGTTTTGTTTAAGCAGTAAATTAACATTTGTTTTCGTATTAACACACACTAGTTGATATTTTAACTTCAGTGGATGATCTCCATCAGTACAAGTAATTTCCTCAGGAGGTAAGAAGGTTAGCATCGGTTGAGACACCTCTGACAATTGCTGGAGTTTTTGGAACCTTTCCCTAAAGAGGGGCAGTCTATTGTTGAGCTGAGAATTAGATGTTTAATATTGTTATCTGCCAAAAGCCACAAAAATGAGCTGTCTCACCAGCAGGGAGGATTGCAAACTCTGTTAACTGGCATATGCTGTCATGGTAAACCATACCACCAATAGGTAGGACAGCAATTCCCATTAGTTGGCAGAAGTGGCGTTAGGGCAAGACAACCGCTTTAGTTAAATATTCATGACGTATGTAAATAAATTATAAATATACTATATAATAATACTAATAAAGGACCTATTTATTTTTGTTTCCGATGCCGCCAAAGCGATTACGAGATACTAGTCGGAAATATCTCAGTGGTAGTCAGTAAAGGAAGTTTGCTGCAGACAGGAAAGCAGAGCTTTAAAAAATGTGTGGAACATTTGATCGATTTTTTCAAAAGCCCGAGCAGATTGAGTCTTACCAAAACGAAGATGGTGCAGTTAATATGGATGAACAGGATGAAATGATTATACAGGTGCCGTTGGAATTAATGATGATAGTGTTAATGATATTGACAACCTCCTGGAGAAGAACCAAACGGATGATGAGCAATCATATGATGTTACAATAACTCAACATTCTGATTCTGTGTCTAGAGATTTAGACATTTTGCATTTCAATGATCATGCACATTGGCCAAAGTATATTGATATGGCTATCCGAGATCTTCTAGTAAGTAAAGGCCCACAATGAGATGAACAGCACAATTTCCCAAAAGATCACAATGGACGAAAGTTTTCAAACAGTAACTTTAAAAGAACGTTAGAAAATGGTGAACTTCGCAGTCGTCAATGGTTAGTTTACTCTACATCGAAGGACCTAATTTTTTGCTTCTGCTGTAAGCCGTTTGGTAACTCCAGCAATGCTTTAGGATGCGATTGAGTTTGTGATTGGGTAAATACTAGTTCGCGTCTGTGAACACGAGCGATCACACACTTGACAGCTACTCTACAATGTAATGGAACTTTAGCAGAGATTTAAGCAAAAAATGCACCGTGGATCAACTGAACTAGAATTCTATCATCAACTCTGAAAACTTCGCTGGAGAAACGTTCTTGATCGTTTTCTGGCTATATTGCAGTACCTCGGTGAACATTACATTGTATTTAGAGGCTCTGTTGGTAGACTTTATTACCCGAACAATGGGAACTTTTGGGGGTTTGTTGAATTATTCGTAAAATTCGACCCAGTCATGCAAGAACATGCCAGAAGAGTTGTAGACGATGAAATTCATGATCACTATCTGGGAAAGCGAATTCAAATTGAACTTATCTCAGTTATGGATAACAAAGTGTGGACAACTATTGTAGAGAAAATAAAAATGGCAAAATATTTCTCTGTGATATTAGACTGTACATAAGACATCAGTCACAAAGAGCAAATATCATTAACTCTCCGATATGTCTCAGATGGATTATCAGATGTTTCAAATGGAACTTGTGATCACTTCATATAGTTTATTGAAGTCACAGAAAGTATAGGGGAAACTTATTGGAAGTTTTACTGAAAGAACCAAAAGAATTGGGCTTGTAAGAAGGTGACATCCGTGGACAAGGTTGTGATAATGGTACTAACATGAGAGGACACATTTCGTGTGTTCAAGCACGACTTCTACAGATAAATCTAAGATCATTTTTTACTCCATGTGCATGTCATAATTACAACCTGTTGCTCGGTGACATGGCAAAAATGTGCTATCAAGCTATCTCATTCTTCAGGGTAATTCAACACTTACTTGTATGTTTTCTTTTCTGGCTCAACTCACCAATGGTACAGTCTTCCACAACTATGTTCACGACCTCAATGTGAAACCACAAAGTGAAACGAAGCGGAAATGCCGTGTTCAAAGTGTGAAGGCTGTTCGATATCAAATTGTCCAAATCTATGTTGCTCTTGTTGAGATTGCTGAGACAGTGAAAGATCTTCAAGCAAGAAATGAAGCAGAATCGCTTTGTAGGGAGTTGAAGAACTTCAAGTTCATCGTTGCTGTCATATTTTGGTATGACATCCTCTTTAAAGTTAACTATGTCAGCAAATATCTGCAAAATGATAGCAAACTCTTAGCTAGTGCAATCGGAAGTCTGGGGAGGACATGTAAATGGCTGAAAGAATACCAGAATAGTGGCTTGATGAGCGCACTGACTGATGCAAGAGAAATTACAAACGAGTTGGAGATAGTAGGAATATTATATGAATACATAGTGCTTCTAGAATCTGCCTAACTGATGATCCCCTTCATATCAGACTGTTCATTTCAAGGTGGACCAAATGTCTGCCAGAGCAAAATCTGGGTCGAGGCCATGTGTTACTGAAGACAACATCAGACAGATCTCTAATCCAACTACAAGTGGCAGCCAAGGAAGACATAAACTGTCTCTTACAAAGGTTCTGTAAAGTGCTTGCCTGGAACTGCTGGTCTCAGGAGCAGGAAATGCAAAGCCTGATCCTGGGTGTTTATGGTTCATCACTCGCAACAGTTTAATGCCTAAGTGAGACACATCTAGCTGACTGGGACACAGCTTTGGCTGAGTTGCACTAAAGTTTCAATCCAGCAGAAACTGAGACATCCAGTTGGCTGTATTTATGGTTAATAAGAGGAGTCTCTCAGACAACTTTGCCAGTGATTAGTGCCACATACGTGGAAAAGCAGCTATGGATCTTATTTTATGGAGGAAAGTCTTTGTGAGGCAATAATGCATCACTGGGGTTGAAGGACAATTGCACTATAATGAAAATGGTTTCTGTGGCAATGATGTTTGAGTTAGTTACCTTGATTGATCTTATGAGAGGATGAAGCCAGCAGCAACAGCTGTCATAGCTCCCCACTCCAGGCTACCCTATCCAACCATATGTTCCTCACCATGACCAAATTCCACTTCAACCAGGTCTGCTGAACAATGCCTCAAACAAATGTGGTACAATTGGGCTGGTTACCCATGAATGAGCAGGGTTATAGAGGTACTCCCATGATTTTGTGGCACAACTAATGTAAAACCTTCTTTACGCGAAGTTCAATCTGGGATCCTTGGGCCAGAGTCAGCGCTATTATTTATGAGCTGATGGGCCATTTTCATGTAAATTGTCATCATTTTGCTGGGCGGCAAGACCAGTGGAACAATCTTTCTTACCCAACTGCCCAACAAATGCAGAAAGGTCAACAGTAAATAGTTTCTGCCATGGCTTAGGCTCTTGGAAACTAACGTAGCCTACGTTGGGTCTGACTCAAAAGTAAAGGAGGCGGTGGTCATCCCAGTTCTGAATAAACTGGATGGAATTTGGTAACGTGCATGTTAGAGTACACAGCATTCTCATGGAGTTCTTGGTTGATACTGGAGCTGCATGAAGAATGGTGGATATCCTAACTTCCACTCCAATCAGTAAACACTAACTTTCTTGGCAACTAGTGGACACCTGAATGTGAATGGAGAAGCACATCTCCAACTACATCTAGATCACCTAAATCATAGGATAAATATAGTAATAGCATATCTTGGTTCCAGTAGTGGCATACTAGGCATGGACATACTGCAGGAACTCATAGTAACCCTAACCTTTGCAGCAGGTGAAAATTGAGTTTTGATGGAAATATCATTCAATGCTGGCTTGAATCAAACCTGGAGTAGTGGACTGCTCATATGTATGTGTCATAGTTTTCTATGAATAAGATCAAGAGTGTCAACACTATGTCGAGTGGTAGTAG